CCCCCCCCCCCCTCCTCTTTTCAATATCTTCCCCGTTGAAGTTTTTCCGGGGCATTCATGCTGTCAGAACGCATAGTTGCACAACATGCGTCTGTGCATGGCACACAATTACGCGATGCGTAATTATGCACATGGGGAACTGAGTGGCAGACGTTTTTTGGGCAAGCTTCCGCTTCTTACTGGGTTCGAATGGACCCAGTGAGGCGAGGACCACATCCGCTTCGCCCTTAACCCATCAGCGACAGCCTTAAAGGGCGAAGCCTATATGACATAGAACGTTGGTTACGTACTGTAACCCCAGATTCTATGAATATAGGCGTAGCCCTTTAAGCGTCGGGCCTCACTGGCTCCTGAATAGCTGAAGAAAAGAATAAGCTATTTGGGAGCAGATTACCCGCTCTTAACGTAATTTATACGGATCGGGTGGGGCCCACACAGCAGGTGGGCGTGGACTAATTTTTTTTCAGTACGATGCTTGCGCATAACGGGATAAACCCATCAGCGACAGCCTTAAAGGGCTACGCCTATATTCATAGAATCTGGGGTTACAGTACGTAACCAACGTTTCTGTGCAAAGTCCAGTTGGAGCAAAGAAACTCGTGAAGCCGCTGGTCTGTTGATGAAAGTTAAAATAAAACTTTAAATTCTGGTTCTGGGGAGAAAACACCGTCGGGAGTCGACTCGAGTCTGGAAGGGTTCGACAGAAAACCAGAAGTCCAGTAAGAGACGCACGCGTGAAAGAAGCCAGAACTTTTATGTTTCCATGAATAAAAGAAACTAAAAGTGAGAAGAAGAAAAGTGTTTGCAGAAAAACTCATAAAATAAAGACGGCTCTCAAATTCAAACTGAGATTAACGATATCAGATCATCGGCTCCGTCCTGTAAAGTCCGACTTCAGGACCAAGGCTTCACTGGTACTAATGCACGCCCCTTGGAAACAAGGCGGACGGACAGGACGGGAGTTGGACTTTCCACAAATCCAGGAAAACTGAGCTGATTTAATCTGTGATCGTTTCACCGAGCGTCTCCTGCAGGATCAAACAAGTCCGGATCCAAACGCTCCTTGAACGGTGCGAAGAGCTGCTGAGACGTCGGAACCTCAGAGTGAAAACGAGCCGCCCCCCAGGGACGGTGAACTATCAGCCGGGTTCATTAAACTGGTCCACGGGGGACAGATGAGCCGAGACGGGACCAGTCCATTGTTAACGAGCTCGGTCTCCGGTCGTCTTGAATCCTCCTGACGATGGAAACACCTTGAAGAGAACTGCTTTGTTTGGTTTTAGTTCTGAGTCTTATTGTGTGTCTGTTAGCAAAATATCTCACGAACCACTGGACAAACTTGACTGAAACTGGCAGACAGTAGTAAACATCCACAGAGTCAACACCATTCAAGATGGCTGCCAAGGTTAATTACACAAATAAATGCCTCAGCCGATTTCACCGATATTGAGCTAAAGTTTGGTGTGGTAGTAGCCGAGAGTCATTCCAACACGCCCTCTGAGAGCAGAGCTCACACGATATTATACATAAATATACTTTTCTTTTATTAGATTTTTGTTTCTGCTGCAAAAGTTCATGTTAAGAACCTGAAATCTATTTAAATCTTTTTTTTTTTAAAGCAAACAGCCGAAGCTTTAGTTTTCAGAGTGTCGGTAATGATTCTGTTTCTGTCCAACAGGCAGCCGGTGACTAAAAACACCTTCCGACAATACAGGATTTTAGGCAAAGGTGGTTTTGGAGAGGTGAGTACCTGCAGATCTAACTCCTGAACTAAACCTGTCCAATTATCTAATTACACAAAACTCCATTCAGAAAACTCATAATTTAACGATTACTGTTTCACAGCTCAAGTTAAAAACTCTAAATTTATACTTTTACCATTTAAATTAAACTAAAGATAAATTCAGCTGATTCTGTCATATACATTTGTTCATGAGTACAATTTTAAATAAATAATAATAATTCTCAGTCGGGTCATCTGGACAGTTTGTTTTTTATAGAAACGTTTCGCCCTCTATCTATTGATGAAGTCCTCTGGATAGAGGGCAAAACATTTCTATAAAAAACAAACTGTCCAGATGACCCGACTGAGAATTATTGGATTTGGTACCTGGATGATTGAGCATGAACTTTGTTGATTTTAAATAAACTTTAAAAGACTTTACATCGACTGACACCGTTTATGTCACACTATCAGAGAAATGTATTCACTGCTCCTGTGCTTAAATGCATTTTATTTTTATTTAAATAATAAATAATAATCATCTTAGTTGTGTTTCTGAGTAAAATGAAGAAGTTGTGTGTATGTACATTCAATCATCATTATCATTATTATCATCATCATCATCATTATTATCATCATCATCATCATCATCATTATTATTATCATTATTATTATTATCATCATTATTATGATCATAAAAATCATTATCATTATTATTATCATCATTATTATTATCATTATCATTCTTATTATTATTATCATCATTATCATTATTATCATAATCATCATTATTATTATTATCATTATTATTATTATCATCATTATTATTATCATAAAAATAATTATCATTATTATTATATCATTATTATTATCATCATTATTATTATTATCATAAAAATCATTATCATTATTATCACCATATTTATTATAATCATTATTATTATTATTATCATCATAATCAATATCATTATTATATCATCATTATTATTATCATCATCATTATCATTATTATCATTCTTATTATATCATCATTATTATCATAATCATTATTATTATCATCATAATCAATATCATTATTATTATCATCATAATCAATATCATTATTATATCATTATCATTATTATCATCATCATTATCATTATTATCATCATCATGATCATTATTATCATTCTTATTATATCATCATTATCATTATTATTATCATAATCATTATTATCATCATCATAATCAATATCATTATTATTATTATCATCATAATCAATATCATTATCATTATTATCATCATCATCATCATTACTATACGCCCATTGAAAGACGAACATATTACGGTATAGTTCACGTCTGTAAATGTTCTGATATATTTGAACCACCACTAGACGGCATGTTGTGTAAAATTTTCCATCACCCCAGCTTTACGGTGAAGGTCACAAATCAAGGTCAAAGTACAAAAAAACAAGATCTTTGCTCATGAGGCCATTGCTGTATGACAGTGTGTGTGTGTGTGTGTGTGTGTGTGTGGGGGGGGGGGGTATAATGTGCCGTGCGCTGTACTCTTGTTATGTTTGTAGATCAAACAGGATTTAAATTAGTTTAAAAACGTCTTCGGTTCTGTTCAGATCGGACCACAGAGTTCGTGTCTCACTCCGCCATGTTGGAGGACAGGTCTCTGCACACTGTGGACCCAGCTGGTCGTGAGGCAAAGATCTAGAGTGAAACCGTCAGAGCCAGGACTGTGAACCGCCCATGAACCAAACCTCAAGTCCTGTCGGACCCTCGGGAGGTCGGACTTCCTCCATCCTGGGAGGAGTCGGGGGCTCGTGGACGAGCGTTTAGTGGGTCGTCGGGTCCAGGCGAGGGGACGACCTTCAGCAAAAAGACAATCGTTGGACAGGGGACTGGAAGACAAGTTACTCAAGTAACCAGACGGGAGCCCCCAGGAGGTCTAGGCCAAAGGACCGGAACCCAGGACCACCTCAGACCCGTTTCTAGTTCCACTTCCTCTAATCCGGGGCTTCAAACACAACGAGGCCAAAGTTTAGACTTTTCATTTGTCCTTTTTTACCCAAAGCCTCTCGTCATCGTTTGTTCTACAGCGACGAGGGCCATGCGGGTCACACGGCCCGCTGCTCGGGCTCTACGTGACCTTTAGTCAGGCTCGGGTTGCTTTGTTGCCATTTCCACATGAAAAGGTCAAAAATACGATGTTCAAACATTTCAGGAAGTTTAAAGAAGACTCGGAACGTCCTGAGCTTCACAGCAGATCTTTGGCTTCTGACCGGAGGAACTCCACCGTGGACGTGTAAATCCTGCAGAGAGGCGTCTCTGGGGGACGTGTTCGTGTCCTCCCCGGCCCCCTGGTGACAGCCGAGCCAACGCACGAGTGTCGGGTCGTGAGTTGCGAGGGAGCTGAGAGGAAGTTGTGGTTCAGATGGTTTGAGTCACGCCGGGAAACAAACGAGTCCGATGTGCTCGTGGTTCTGGAGGAGTTCTGGTCCACTCTTCTTTCCAACATGGCTTCAGTTCTTTGAGCTCAGCTCTCTGAAGGTCCACCACAGCACCAGTCAGACTGAGGTTCTGGACTCATCGTGGTTCTGTTCTGACCCGTTCTGTTGCAGATCAGCTGTTGTGTTCTGGATCATGGTTCTGTTGGACCCAGTTTGGTTCAAGCTTCAGCTGTTGGACTCCAGAACCCTTTGGTCTCCAGAGGAGTTCTGGTCCACTCAGTGACTGACAAGAGCCCGAACCATCAGCCTCCACCACCGTGCTGACAGCTGGAGCTGTGTACTGCAGTGCATGCTGGGTAAACATCTGGTCTGGTTCTGGTCCAGAAGTCTTGTGGTTCCTACAGATGACACTAGAAACCTAAGACGAGCTGCCATGTTGTTTCTAGAGAAGAGGTTTTGACCTTTAACCTGATGAATGAGGCCTGCAGAGTCTGAGATGGAGCTCACTGCACGGTCTGACCTTCGGGGTGAAACTGCTGAGAAGGTTGTCAGCTGTCTCAAATGATTTCCACGTGTGAATAATCTTTCCCTCTGTAGAACAAACTCTATAAACGGTCTGGAAATGACCTTTGACCCTTCCCGGACTGATGGACACCAACTCTCTGAGGTCATTGCTGATGTCTTTCCACCCTGGCGTTGTGTTAACACCCGTAGGCTCCAGAGCAGAGGTGGAGCCCCGATGATCAACGAGCAGCTCCCGGCTGAGATTTAAAATTTAACTGAAACAATAAGAGTTCAGTTCCCGTCAGTAAATAAAAACTCTTCTGTGTAAAATGTATTTTTATCTTTGGTTAAACTTGGACAACACGAGACAAATTCCTTAAACCAAGACTCCGATGTTTTAACTAGTTGTTGCAACAAAAACATCTCGGAGTTCCTGAAACTCCTCGAGGTCTCAGATTAAAATCAGTTTCCGGTTTTTCACTAAATATTTCGACAGAAAAACTCTGTTTTCCCAAGTCACAGGAAGAAACTCAGCTAATCTTTAGACGTTTTCCTCAGGTGTGCGCGTGTCAGGTACGAGCCACGGGGAAAATGTACGCCTGCAAGAAGCTGGAGAAGAAGAGGATAAAGAAGAGGAAAGGAGAAGCCATGGCTCTGAACGAGAAACAGATCCTGGAGAAGGTCAACAGCAGATTTGTTGTAAGTTTCCTCTGAACTCTCAGACCCTCACTGTGAACATAAATCTACAGATAAATAAAGATAAATACACAAACAATACACAGATGAATATACAAACAATACACAGATAAATATAAAAACAATACACAGATAAATATAAAAACAATACACAGATAAATATAAAAACAATGTAAAGATAAATATAAAAACAATGTAAAAATAAATATAAAAAACAATACACAGATAAATATAAAACAATGTAAGATAAATATAAAAACAATACACAGATAAATATAAAAACAATGTAAAGATAAATATAAAAACAATACACAGATAAATATAAAAACAATGTAAAGATAAATATAAAAACAATGTAAAAATAAATATAAAAACAATACACAGATAAATATAAAGATAAATGCTGCCCTCAGGTGGCAGAGAGCTGAAACTGCAAGAAAATTAAGAGAAAAATAATTTTATTTTATTTTATTTTTTCTACGGGGTCTCCTTTGGGCTGCAGGGAGCTGGTGTCTCTCCAACAGTCTGAGTGAGACGCAGGGGACACCTGGACAGGTCACAAGTCCATCACAGGGACATGTAAAGACAAATAAGACAAACATTCACCCCGTCCTAATTTAGAGTTACCAATGAACACAAGAGGCAAATGGACAATCTTCTTCTTTCAGCTGTTCCCTCTTCAGGGGTCTCCACAGAGAGTTGTCCACCTCCGTCTCACTCTGTCCTCTGTGTCCTCTGTCCTCCCTCCAACTACCTCCATGTCCTCTCTAACTGCATCCATACATCTCCTCTTTGTCTTTTTCCTGCAGCTGCATTTCTAACATCCTTCTACCAATATACCCACTGTCCCTCCTCTGGACATGTCCAAACCACTGTCCCTCCTCTGGACATGTCCAAACCACTGTCCCTCTTCTGGACATGTCCAAACCATCTCAGTGTGTCCTCTCTAACTTTATCTCCCAGGTGTTCAACCTGTGCTGTACCTCTGATGATCTCATTCCTGATCTTCTCCATCCTTGTCTCTCCTAAGAAGAACCTCAACATCTTCATTTCTGCCACTTCCAGTTCTGTCTCCTGTCTTTTGTCCATGTCTCTGTCTCCAGACCATACAACACAGCTGGTCTCACCACTGTCTTGTAAACTTTTCCTTTGACCTTTGCTGACACCCTTTTGTCACTCCTGAAACTTTTCTCCATCCACTCCATCCTGCCTGGACTCTCTTCTTCTCCTCTTCACCACACTCCCCATGTTCCTGGACAATGGACCCCAAGTCCTTGAAGTCCTGCACCTTTGTGACCTCTGCTCCTTGTAGCCTCACTGTTCCACCTCCTCCCTCTCATTCACACACGGACTCTGTCTTACTACGGCTGACTTTCATTCCTCTTCTTTAAAGTGCATACCTCCACCTCTCCGAGTTCTCTTCCACCTGTTCCCTGTTCTCACCACAGATCATGATGTCATCTGCAAACATCATCGTCCAAGAAAAAAAGAATTAAACAAACAAAACACACAAAAGTTGGCTCGTTATGTTGGAATTATGAAACGTACAATAAATAAATAAAAAATCTCACATGCACAGATGTGCACGGCACTTTCTCTGTTCTGTTGCCCTAAAACATGTAATTAAAAAGGGTTTGGGGGCGGAGTTATGATGTTGTTTATTTACAGAACGGCGGTTTTGAAAATGCAGTGATTTTGCATATCGCCCGCCTCCTTGCTCACCAAAGTTTTAAAAAGATCGTGCACGGCCCGTTAGCGCTCGGGGTACGTGTTGAGAACGACTCTCAGCTACTACCACGCCTGAGTTGACCTACAGCCTGTTTAGCGTTTGAGTGGCGGCCATCTTGGATTGTGTTGAGTCCAAAAGTGAACTACTTGAAAACTTTCTAACACGTTTAACTAAAATTCATCCAGTTCAGGAGATATTTTGCTAACAGACGAAGAAAGACACAGGAAATCTTCAGTGTTTGTGTCCGACAAACTTTCAACCAACCAGAGACCATCAGGTGAGGTCTAGGCTTCAACCAGACCCTGACCTGGTCCCCAGCTTCCTTCAGCTCTGACGTGAGGAGCAACAAACTCACATCATGATACTGCCGCCGCCGTGCTGTGCTGGGTTTGTCCTTCAGGGCCTCACGGTCTGGGTCTGGTTTAGGGGGACTCCATTTTGTTTGTGGAAAACCCAAAACTCCTCTCGATGTTTTTACTGGTTTTATCTTCAGACTGACTCTTAGAAAAATGATCCATGACAATAAACGTGTCCTGGTGTGTCCAGGTCAGCTTAGCGTACGCCTACGAGACGAAGGACACGCTGTGCCTCGTGCTGACGCTCATGAACGGCGGCGACCTCAAGTTCCACATCTACCACATGGGCGAGTCGGGCTTCGACGAGACCAGGGCCGCCTTCTACGCCGCCGAGATCTGCTGCGGCCTGGAGGACCTGCACCGCGAGCGCATCGTGTACAGGTCAGGCTCCTCCGAGACTGAACAACAAATGTGACGGGCCGGGTCGTTCACTCGGCTCCTTCTTGTGTCCAACAGAGACCTGAAGCCTGAAAACATCCTGCTGGACGACCACGGTGAGGCCCCACACGTTTTCATCAACACAACCGGGTTCCTGTCGGACCACGAGGTCCAGGAAGGATTCTTTAGTCAAACATTAACAAATACTTTTTTACATTGATGGAAACTCGTGACTTCAGGTCGTTTTAACGAGACGTGTTGGACTGAGATTAGTTTAAAAACGACCCAACGTAGAAACTTTAACAGACGGAGACCGACGTAAAAACCCCCGGAGCGTTTTTAATTCACATTTAATTTGTTTAGCTCTGTTTGTGTGTGTGTGTGTGTGTGTGTGTGTGTGTGTGTGTGGGGGGGGGGGGGTAAGAACACTGTCAAAATAAATGTTTATTTAAAGACAGAAATGTGCTCATATTAGTCAATAATTGTACAAAACTAGAATGTGTACATGTATCATATGTTTGCGTTGTAAAAATACAATTTAATAACAAACGTACAAATACTAACTTCCAGTTTACAGTTTATTTTACTCTTTATGAATTCAAAGAACTATGACTGTTTGTGATTATGATTTTTTTCTATGTTGAATTTACGACCGTGATCTTAGGTCATGGGGCCACAGGCTGGTTAATCGAGCACAGAACACATCGATATGTGTTGTGCATGCGTTCATAATACTTTCTCTATTTCAACTTAATAGTGCCACCAGAATTTGTATTTTTTTATAGGAAACAGAATCCCCATCGGATTATCACACACAGGAGAAATGTTAGCAGTTCTGGTAACAGCTCTGTTAGCAGTTCTGTTAGCAGCTCTGTTAGCAGCTCTGTTAGCAGCTCTGTTAGCAGTTCTGTTAGAAGCTCTGTTAGCAGTTCTGTTAGCAGTTCTGTTAGCAGCTCTGTTAGCAGCTCTGTTAGCAGTTCTGTTAGCAGTTCTGTTAGCAGCTCTGTTAGCAGCTCTGTTAACAGCTCTGTTAGCAGTTCTGTTAGCAGCTCTGTTAGCAGCTCTGTTAGCAGCTCTGTTAGCAGTTCTGTTAGAAGCTCTGTTAGCAGTTCTGTTAGCAGCTCTGTTAGCAGCTCTGTTAGCAGCTCTGTTTGCAGTTCTGTTAGCAGTTCTGTTAGCAGTTCTGTTAGCAGTTCTGTTAGCAGCACGGTGGGGGGAAGATGTAAAAGCAATAAATTGTTTGGATTCAAGTTCTGTCTTATTGAGTTTAAAACAATCGTTCAGACAGCCGGCCAGACATTTGATTAGAAATACTCCAGACTGTATTCAGAATACAAAGGACGGGTTTAACATCAGCATTTTGATGGTACCAGCACATGATGGAATAAAAAGAAACGAGATGGCAGACGAGATCATATTAACTTCATGCTACAAACAAATAAATCAGAGGCGAGAACAAGAACTGAAGAAAGAATGGCAGACAGGGTGGGATGGAGAAAGGAAGATGGTTTTATAAGATCATAAATGAGAACTGCACCTTCAGTCTGAACACGTGCACAACATGTATCGATGTGTTCTGTGCTCCATTAACCAGCCTGTGGCCCCGTGACCTAAGATCACGGTTGTAAATTTGAATTCACAAACGATCATAGTTCTTTGAATTCATAAAGAGCAGAACTAAACTGTAAACTTGAAGTTAGTATTTGTACGTTTATTTTTTTAAATTGTATTTTTATGATACATGTACACATTCTAGTTACGTACAACTATTGACTGATATGAGCACATTTCTGTCTTTAAATACATTTTATTTGAAAGTGTTCTTACCCATATGTGTGTGTAATTAATCAGAAATTATTAATTCCACCAGATTATTATTTTTAGTCACGTTCCTAAATGTGAACCTAAATTCAACAGTTTGACGTGAACGTGCTGCTGTTGAACACCGGGGGGCGCTCTGACACCAGGGAGAGTTACGAACTTTAATCAAACAAATCTAATAATCACCTGCTGCCATGAAGGCGGGCGATCATGCACTCACCTGTGGGTTCGTTTGAATTAAACAGAAATCTTTAATTGGACGAATGAATCTAGAACTGATCGACTTTGGGGCTCAAGCTGAAACGTAAACATCTTGAACTCCGCCAGCTTCACAGACTGAGTGAAACATGCAGTGGTAGTAGTTGAGGGTCATCCTGGTACCACAGTTGGAGCCTCGCAGGTGAACCGGGTCAGCTCTCAGTTTGATGCGTTCGTGTGCTCAGGTCACATCAGGATTTCGGACCTCGGTTTGGCCGTTTACGTTCCGGAGGCAGAAACCATCAAGGGACGTGTGGGGACAGTGGGATACATGGGTGAGTATTCACACCAAGTACTTATACTGGAGTAATCGTATCGGTTTATCCTGCCGGGCCAACACATTTCAGAGCGGCGGTTTGGGTTTTTAGATCCACTCCAAACCCTCTATTAAACAGATTTATCATAAACTTTTCAAGGGATGTCAAACTAATTACACTAGTTAGGTTTAATGTTATTTCTCTATTCTACTAAAAGTGGTTGACACGTGAAAACTCCCAATTACTTAAAATATTATATTTTTATTAAATTCTTCTCCTAAAGACGTCGCCATTATTTTACCGGCGCAATGCATTCTGGGGCGATGACGTACATCGGTTGTAGTGGAGACTAAAACACAAGGAGTCAAAGATAAAAAGTTGTAACTTTCAATAAATTTATATTTTATATTAGTCCTTATGCACAATATATGAGTTAAAATGATCAAATGTGATAAACTTATAATATTTAATTAGCTCTGGAGCCAACTCCATTAAAAAGAAAAAAGGTCTTGATCTCATGCCATATATTTAGCTCTGGAGCTAACGCTATTAGCTCTGG